CCAGTACGCTGATATCTGCTGTAATTTGCGACTCTGTTTTTTATTATTATTATCAACTAATTTTATACAGTAAAGTGGTTGTTGCTTTTGATCGGCAGTATTCATATTCGTAATAAGACTGGGTTCAAACATTTGGGGTTGTGACGACGAGGGGTTCAACCGTCGAGGGATCGCCGTAATTCGCGATTCTGTTGCCAAAGTCAGGTATCTTCTAGTTTTATCCAGTAAAATGTTGCAACTTTTGACAAATAATGCTGGGTTCAAATGGTGAGGATTGTGGCGCCAAGCGGTGTATCGTCGAGGGGTCGAAACATCAAGGGGTCTAATCGTCCTAGGGTCGAAACGTCGAAGGGTCTAATCGTCCAGGGGTCGAAAGGGCGAGGGGTCCAAACGACCTGATACCTCACATAACATTTCACATGACTTTTCTAATTTGTGTGTTCTTCATCGCACACATGCATACCCTGCTAGTCATCATTTTGAAAATCTTTTTTTTTTGTTGCAATTTAGTAGAGCATGGATTACCATTGCCAACTTCATATATTCATCATATTTGGATTCTCTGGGGGAACTAGCGGGTATCTAATCTTTTCTAGTGGTAATATATGTGCAGAAATTCTAAATTTGTTCACACTAATCTTGTGATCAGTATTTTTGATATTAGTTCAATTTATAATTATAGGACACCACATCATTGTTAATAATGCCAAAATCTAGAATCTGATGCTGACTAGATTATTTTGAGCGTACATTGCAATGTTTTTATTTTCAGCTGGTTTCACAACTTCTCACTTACCCATATACACTATCAAACAGGTGATGTGCTTTGAATGCACAACATTCATATTCTGCTACTTTCACAAAATGTTAATATTAAACACCCCTAACTATTTTACGATGAACATTAATTAATACTGGAAGCAAAATGTGGAAATCTGAGAAAGGCATTACTTCATCATTGATGTATTCTGATGCAAAGTTGGATGTGGACATCTTGAATGATTAAAGCAGCAATAGTTGTGATTTTGAACATTTTATCATGTTAAATGACCAAATCTTACCGAAATATTGTTTTAGACACAACTGTATGGGAAAATGATACTACACAAGGCTAATGTAACGTAAAATGTGAAAACTAATGGTGGAGTAGCTGCTATTTTATTGAAATTTGTCACATGATGGGGATTGTAGAAAACTTTGACACATGATGAATATTATCATGGGAAATGACACATAAAATCATCAGTAAGAAACCATCAGAGAGAGGCTTAGGCTTAGCCTCTCAAGATTGCTACATATTTCGCACACAGCCCGAGGTGTGTTGTGATCTTGCACAGTAATCTCTGAGGTTTGCTTAACAACCTGGATTTTACTAATAACGGCGTCTTTTGGAGACCTGCACTCAACCCTGTGTCCATCGTACCACAATGGTATATAGCTTTTGGCAATAATGACAAAGAAGACGATTTATTGAAAATTGGAGAAAAACTCTTAATAGTTACAGCTATTGCCAATTTAAGTGTTTCACAAACTGTTAAAAGTGACCATTGTTTTAAAAACAATTTTTTCTCTTATTCCCATGTAAAATGACCCCACACATTGACAGAATCTGGAGTGTATGTCAGTGTTTTTTGTCTTACTGAATATGGTGATAACATCGCTAATTTCGCACACATAGCTGCATTAACAGATGATGATTGCATGCAATTATTATAATATTCTGATGAATATTAAAATTTTGTTTTGAATAATTATCCTGTCAATATCGTTTGTAAATTTTGCAGGTGACAATTGACTGTACAAAGCACGATCACAGAAGCATAGTTGTATCTCGAAATGGCTTCATCAAGATTCCTTCTTCCAGTGACTATTTCCACCGTTTCGTTAGGAATTGGTAGCTGGCTGGGGATTCATTATGAAAAGAAGAACAAATGCGTAGCCACTTGTGATAAAGTTTGGAATTTGCCAACAGCAAATTGTGCTGTATCAACGACAACAAAATCACCTGTTGCTATTGGCAACGTGGGAGAAATAATGAAATACGGATACCCAAGCCTAACAAATCTAAAAAAACATGGCGACTTTGTCTTATCATATGATCGAAGAAATCGTATCCCAAACTGGGTGTTTGAGCACCTTACGGCACAAAAAGTGGCATACAATGACGTCATTGACCGAGAGAATTGTCAGTTTTTTGAAGACAATGATGTCCATGTTTACTTTCGCTCAACTAATGCAGATTATTACAAAAGTGGATATGACAGAGGTCACATGGCTGCAGCAGCCAATCACAGAACATCAATTGAAACTATGCAACAAACTTTCTTTCTGAGCAATGTTGCACCACAGGTAAAGTATCTACTTTCTTTGTCAATGAACATGCACGAAGTGGTCTCCCTGTTGGATGAAATCATCATTACACAGAATGCATTTTGGGTACCGGTATATAGTGATTGGCTGGCGGTGACAGGTTCATTTATATAGAAATGACACTCTTTCCAACATATCATATACTTTCCATTTATTTGCTTTAATAATACATTTATCTTCATGATTTTGTTTGTTCATTCTGTCTGCACACATTCTCTCTCTCTGCTTGCAAATGTTACTAGTAATTTTGCATTTATACATGAACCTACAGATTCCAATCACAAACAAATTTCTGTAAATGCATTCATTATTAGCTTATTACAAAGTGAAATTCCCTAAATTAATAAAATCATGTCAACTTCTAGAATGACAATAGAGCTCTTTATTTCCCCAACCAACTTTGTGAACTTCAAACCCAGTGAAATTGCTCAAAACGTCAAAATAGTGAAATTAAATGGCAGAGGAAATAAACGATGCTACAGTATAAAACAATAATAGAATTCTGTGTGTAAAAATAGTCAAAGATATTATATCAGTCAGTAAAAAATACTATGTATCTGCGAATCCACTAATACCATACTGCATAACTATTGTTATTATTCCATAGGTTGGTGCTGGTTTTAATAGAGATATCTGGTGTGATTTGGAAAAATATGTCAGGAAGTTGACAAAGAAATACAAAAATCTTTATGTGTGTACTGGACCACTATACTTACCAAGGTAATGTGCACAGACTTCCTGTGTGTATGTGTAAACACTTATTAGGACAGACAGGTTTTTTTTCCCCTTTCTAAATTATGCAGACCCATATTTTTTATGTACCGGTTCTATCTTCTGTAAATTACTTTATTTCCTCCACATACTTATTTTAGCAAAAATAAACTTTATACAAAAGCTAGAATACAGTATTTGTCTTTGGAAAAAATGTTGGCACTTATGTTTCCCAGACATATAAACAGTAGGTATCAGTGTTCGTTCGTACAGATTTATATCCAGAGCATTATTACAGATATAGACACTCAACCAATAACCAGTGCTTTATTGGGCACAAGCTCTGATCAACATATTTAATAACCATATATGGTAATATGATCTCATTAAATATGCATAACCATCATATCTGGAACACCATTGCAGATATACCGGATTCTGCTGTAAACTCGCCCATCTGAAAAATCGCCCTGGGTGAATTCACAGCTGTTGGGCTCTTATTTGGTGTTTAAAATTTAAAAAAATGATCATCAAATATTTTTGGAGGACTTATATTTTCATTGAAAAAAACCACTTACATCGACTTTTAACGCTGGCAGTTGGACCACCCAAAACAAAAGAAACTATTGCAGAAGCTAATCTAAAATTTTTTGTTAAAAAGTAGACCGCATAAAATTTCATTACAATGTCACCCAGCACATCTTTCTCCAAAAAAATCACATTAAAGATCTTTGTGTGCCAAATACAATTATTTTTTTCATTTTATTAGTAACTAAAGTAGCAAATGATCGCAGTAGCGCAATCCGGTCATGCTACGTTTCACAATTGTTGATTATTACCTAGTAGTGATTATAATAACATGCAAAAAATAAATTTGTTGAATTGTTATGAAATGCAAATAAATTTCAACTTAGTTTCTTCGTAAGCAAATAATTCCGGTTGCATATTAAACACTTATGCTGGAGAATATCCACCATGTTTTGACCTGGGACAATGTTCTTTGACATAAAGATGAATGCCAACGTGTTCAAAACACCATAGCTCATTTAAATATGTTAATGTTATTGAACGCAGCATGGAAGAGAATTGCCAATGTTGTACAATCTTTTGGCTTGGATTTTGATGGGAAAGCGGCATGATTTGTTTTTAAATAAAAAAATTATTTGTTTTCAAATGATAAACTGAGCATTTGAAGAATAATTTAACATTGTTTACAGTGATAATTGCTCATTGTCAAAACGAAGCTTACCCATTCACGCTAGTCACAATAAACATCATATTCTTGAATAACACCTTAAAAAACTGCCGAAAAATCACCCTGGGTGATTTCTTAATTCCATTTTATTTTTTTGAAACCCAAACTGTCGTTTAATGGCCCAGAGCGAATTTTCGGCAGAATTTGGTTGATGCTCGATCAGTGCTTGTACCGGTAAAAATGCCAGGGGGATTTTGAGGGCTGTTTTGTTTTGAAGAGATAAGTAAAAATATTTGACAGTATTCTGTATTTGTTTTCAGGCAAGAGCGAGATGGGAAACAGTATGTAAAATATGAAGTAATTGGGAGAAACCATGTTGCTGTTCCAACTCATTTCTTCAAAGTCATTCTGTGCGAGACCGACAAGGGAGAGTTTGATGTTGAATCTTTTGTCATACCAAATGCAGCACAACCAGAAAAAGCAAAATTGAATTTATATCGTTTTTCCATAGAATCCATAGAGAGAGCATCTGGGTTGCTTCTGTTTGATAAGATACCCAGAGAATTTTTCCGCAATATTAACAGAATTAAGTGAGATTCAGAGAAATTTACTCCAAGTGTGCAATATGAGGATCAGAAAAAGAAACTAGTGTATATTTTAAAAAAAAAAAATTGATACAGAAGCCTGTTTTTTTAATCCCTGACAGAAGATAATCTTTGGGCGTATGAATTGAGATTTGTATGTCGATCAGTTTGTCACATTTTCTCAGAGGTTCACTTTGTACAGAGTTGTTACATGAGAGTATACAAATGGTGGACTGATGGTCAAAATGCACAATTAATGTGTGTAAAGCAATATCACAAGTTTTGAAATTTGTTAGATATTGGTGGCCATTTGTATGCCAAAAATACTTATTTTTGGCCATTTTTGCTTATAACATGATAATTTCATTAAGTCTCACATTCAAATTTGGTACAGAAGAAATATATTTTGTTTTGAAAATCAGCATTTTTTTGCTAATATTTGGATTGAAGATTTACCAAAAAATGCAAATGAACTACACATACATTTGAAACCTGAAAGAGTCACCAACATACAAATTCAATTTTTTTTTTATGTTTCCTACATTTCACACTTATTCAGACTATCAAATACTAGAATCCCCCTATATTTTTACGACCTCAATAAATGTCTATGAATGCTCTCAGAGTTTAACATACTTCAACATACGTATACAGTGTATGATTCAACACAGATTTTAATATTTTTTGGAGGCAGTTTTGTGAAAAGCAAGAGAGATATGGCTTTGACATTGTAACTTAAACATCATTCAGGTTTACTGTGGAATACTTTATTTTCGCTGAAAAGGCTTTTTGAGTGTTTTGTATGGAATTTATTTTCACTGATTTTTGATGAGTTTAATGTGAAATATAGGAAAAAAAGTATATTTGCTGGATTTTGTTTTCACAGAATCATCCCTTCAGCAAAAATAAAGTATTCTACAGTATTTAGTGAAACAGAAAACAGTTTTAAATTACCAATAGCTTTATTGAAAAAACAATATTTTCATGTGGACAACCAGTACCTCAGCTGGACCACATTTTTTTTTGTCAGGAATGGAAAATGACAAATGTTCATTAGGCCATTCCCATTTTTAGAAATATTGGTCTTACAATATTGTACAGCAATTTTATTATATAATAAAAATTACATATTTCAGATAATTTTATTAATTTAATAAAAATGAGATATTCAAAATCACGTATTCAGAGCTTGTATAATTCGGGGTCTTAAAGCGGCCATAGTGATCAAAATAGCTTCCTGAAATAAATATGAAAATATATTTTAGTGTTTCTGTCTTTTATACAATCACAAGTGAATGTTTGAAAAAAAAACAATTACAGTAAATAGTAGTTACCATGGTTACATACACCCAGAATGTACGTGGTATATCACTCACTATGCATGACGCCTAGCTACAAGAACAGTAATATCCGAGGCTTACCTCAGTTCTGATGGTCCGACTTCCTTGTTTGGGACACGTGTTTATATACATGTCAAATAAATCATTAACTTCATGTATTTTTAATTTTTCATCACAGTCCAAGCTATATTCTAGACCTTTAAGTCCACCAAATACTACAAGTGCATGGCTGCAATGTAAAATAATAATTAAATTAAAAATTGAATGTTAGAATGACATTGTGAATGCTACATGCTTGTTTCTTTTTTTCATAAATTTTGCAGTGTTTTTCACTTGCCTAATGATATGAAATGAATGAAGTTTATTTCACTATAAACATATATACATATAATAATATACAAATAAATGTGATATATAAACAAATGAGTTTCTATATTTTTAGATATTTATACAAATTGTTTATAGTGAGGATCATAAAAATAGTTCCCTAGAACTAGTCTAGTTCATGACCCTTTATAAAGAATGAACAAAATAAACAGTAAATAATAATAATATTAATAAATGACTGGCTTTCATGCAGTATATTTAATCAAAGAATAAGTATTGACAGCAAATATTTTGTCTGAATATTTCCTAGCGACTGGCAACGGCTTCATGATGCTTGTCAGAGTTTTGTGATGCCCTGCTAACATGCTATTGGTCGAATTGTTGTGTTCTACTGCTATATTGTTGTGACCTTTGACCTAGTCTTGTGCTGTAATTAATTATGTGGGCATGCTCAGTAGTGCCTAGTAACCAGGTCAGTCATCATTTTGGTTAAATAAACAAACTAGTCCTTTCTCTCTTTAAGAACATTATCGGAATGTTGTTCAAATGAAATCTGCAGAACTCCATGGAAAGGTGAATTAGATGGCTTACTACTGACTCATTTCGTAGTTTATTGATTTGCCACCACAAAGGTCACCTTGGCTCAGTAATAGATTTATTGAAAATATACAACAAAATTGACACTAGTTTGATAAAATTGCAATAATGGATTTTGTATAGTATATGCCCATTATCAGAATAGATTGTTTTGCCAAGTTATCTAGCATCTTTGGTATGTCAACATCTTGTAATTGAAGCATAAGATGCTGCATTAAATCAAAATACATGTATTGGTACTTTATATACAACTTCATGCAAGAAAAAATCATTCCTGTATGTGTCCTGTATGCAT